ACACAACTTCTGGAATAAAAGGGAATCTTGATGGACACTATAGTCACTAAATCAATTTTAGTGTAATGAAGCAGTTTTGGTGTATGGTTCATACCCCTGTAGTCTCACTGCTTAATTTTCTGCCATTTAGGAGTTAAATCACTTTGTATATGCAGCACTAGCCACACCTCCCAGCATGTGACATGTACATCCTTCCTAAACACTTCCTGTAAAGACATCTAATGTTTTAACTTTTATTTCACAGTCTGTTTAATATAGAATTTCTCATCTGATGCTCTATTAATAGAGTGCTAAACCCAACAGGAACCTCCTGTATGTAATTAAAGTTAACTTTACAGAGCAAGAAATAAAAACTTGTAAAGTAAGTGAAATTCTGAAAATGTAACTATTTTTTTTCATGTTGATTGTGTGAATCACAGCCAGGAAAGGTGTGGCTAGGGCCTCAGAGAATTAAGCAGTGAGAATGCAGTGTCATGATCTATTCACCAAAACTACTTCATTAAGCTAAAATTGTATTGGTGACTATAATGTTCTTCTAAGAGAAATTATTCTAAATTATCTTTTTTTTTTTTTTCTTTTTTCCTATTGCAATTTACAATAATAGTAACTGTCATTCTAAAGGTCTAAAGTTGAAATACCACATTTTTAAATTTGTATTGTTCATGTGACAATGATCTCTTGAATTTAAAAAAAAAATATATATAATATATATATATATATATATATATATATATATATATATATATATATATATATATATATATATATATATATATATATATTTTGTGTGTGTGTTTTGACTTATTTAACCCGCATATGATGTATTCATCAAGGTGAATTTTGCAGCAAAAATATATAGTTTAAGTTAGGTGGCAACATAAACTACTCAGCAAGCAAAGCCGTCTTAATTATGATCTGTGTGTTCCTATAATTCCATTTGTGAGTTTAGTTTTGCAGTGATTTGTATGAAATTGTGCGGAGCCAGCTTACCGGTACACCATACGTCAATTGCCTGCAACCAAAGCAGAACCAAAGTGGCTGCCTAGGGCCCATAGGTTAGACAGGGGGCCGTATAATTATGAATTTATCTACTTGTCATTAATTCCTATATGAAGAATGAATCAGGGGAGGGGGGCTGATAACCGGTTTAGGGCTCACGTAGGTTCCTTCTTTCCCTGCAATTTATGTTTACATATTTACCAACATTAAGAATCTGCATTGCAGGCAAATTGGTGCAGGTAGTACTTGAAAGTCTAGTACTGTCCATTTCAATACAAGATCACTGCTGGCAAACTGCTATCTTTCCACTGAATTTTTTTTATGTTTATGGGGGAAAAAAATGAATAGCTGCGCCTGAGATTGCCTGTACCTAATTATTTCCCCTAAAAGTTCTTAAATTGAAATTAATTAAAAATGCATTTTTTGTCATTTTGTTTTTTTCTGGATCTTTAACCCCTTAAGGGCCAAACTTCTGGAATAAAAGGGAATCATGACATGTCATGTGTCCTTAAGGGGTTAAACCGATGCTTTCTTGTGTGGTTATTGAAAAAGTTAAACTACCACTTTCTCTAAAGCTTTTGGGTTGGGGGGGAAACAAAACTTGTTTTGTCATACTGATTCCTTTTTGAGAACCAAACGCACTTGAAAATCTAGCAGTGGAATTCATCCTTAGGGGATGTGACAGGAGCACTAAATTCATGTGACTTGTGGTCATTTATCTACTTGTCTCCTTTATCCTGAGCTGTGGTATGGCTGTACGTCAGCCTTCGCAAACTATTCTCTCTCTAATTTCCTTCGAGTGTTTACCTTTCACCTGTTAGAGTACAGGTTCACTTCCAATATGAAACATCAATGGACATATAGCCTGCTTCTCTGTCTCTCGATCCTTCGATCTTTGTGTTCCTTAGACCTCTTACAAGGTAAGTTGACTAACTTTATTCGCGCATTGCCTCCTGTTTACTGCTCTGCTAGAAACCAGAGTATAATTTATAGTTTATAGTATAGTGATTATAGTATAATTTGTATAGATCTTCACTTGTATGGCTGCACGAAATCCAGTAATTTATTGCTCTGAGCTTGTGTTTTGTTCTAAAGAATATGCAGTCTCACAAGCCAGGAGCTGCTTGCTGCTGTTTGCCACTGATGCAGGGGTTTTAAAAGCCTTTAATTCTAAAGCATGTTATACAGGTGAACAAGGGAGAATACAGTTTGGCAATATGGAACATGCAGAGTGCGTTTGGGGAAATTAAAAGGTGATCCATTGTGTAATTGGTAACTGAGTACAGGTGAGTGGTATGAAAAAACTGTCTGTGGCTGATGGGAATAAATGGATTATGCAGGATTGAGGAACTAAGGTAACCTGAAAGTCGCTTAGAATGTATACAGCCCCCTCGCTTCAGACATTGTTTTAGGTCACCACTCAGAAGCCAATTTTTAACTGTAAGCCCAACTGTGCCAATACCGATAAGAATTTGCATCCTTATTGTGCAAATTGACTTAAATGGAAACCCCATGTGTATAAGATGACCTGTAGCAGTATATTTTTTAAAGTTTAGTTCATAAAAGAGGTAATACAACAAAAATTCACATAAAATTCATAGATTTCTTGTATTTTTTTTTTTTCATATGGGTATATATATATATATATATATATTTTTTTTTTAAACTTAAAACTGAAGTTATGTCAACTCAGGATTTCAGAACGTTAGCAGGTTACTTTTTTTTTTTTTTAACTTCCCTTTCTATTTCAACTTCGTATGATCTGTGTATTTAACTTAATAGTTGGAAGTAATTAGCTCAGGTGAAAACAAACGCAATCATTTAAGTTTGATTGTAAATCCTCCAGTTATTTTCGTGTTCTATAGTTCCTTCTGTTTGCGTCTGTATCTCACACTGAGCTGTGTTTATGTTCAACAATTCAAACTGCGAAGATCAGATCGAGTTGGCATTTGCATTCATCACTTCTGACAGATCCTCTCAAATGAACTTTATGACAACCATCGATCACGGCTGCAGTAATTCAGTGTTCTTAGCACAGAAACAATAGAATCACCATTTAACAGGGTCTAGAACTGCCTAAACAGGGTTGGAATGATCTGAATTGGAGACGTTTTGCATTTATATGAACTCTGTTACAGTCAAGTACTGAAGCCATCCGTGTGTTTCTATTGGAAGAATTGTGTGGCCTGCATCTTTAAATCTGTGCACTTTTTTTCTGGGTAAAATCAGTCCTCCGTCAATTACAACTAAAACTAAATTATGTTGTTCCCATGATCCAGCACGATTAATAGAGAATAGCAATTGTTATTAAACCTAAATGAGCTTGTCAATAAGGCCTATCACAGTCGTTTCTTGACAGGCTTATTTTGTACCTAAAGACATTTTTGTAAATTATTTAGTAGTGTGTGTGGAACTGCACTCACTCCCATAAATCTGAGCCAGGGTGCTTGCTGAGCCGGAATCAAACCCAGATTTCCAAAAATGAATAAAGTAATAGAGGTCCAGGCACTCCTTGGTTCAAGACAGGTACTTTATTAGGAACCACAACGACAACGTTTCGACCCCAAAAGGTCTTTGTCAAGCTGATACATACATCAATTTTACTATATATATATATATAGAACAAACTTTAAACAATCACAATTATAAAATACACATGTGAATCAGTATCCTAAGCAAGTAGTTTAACAGCTGGAAGTAGTATACTGCTTATCAACAATAATTACATTAATTAGAAAGAGAGTCTAATACTTAATTGCCAATAATGAACGAGCTTTGAAAGACTTATTAATTTGTTGATACAGGAAAAAGAAATGTATATTATTTTTATATGGATACTGACATAACATCCAAGTGTTTATAGGATATAAAATACATATACTATTTTATAATTGTGATTGTTTAAAGTTTGTTATATATATTGTAAAATTGATGTATGTATCAGCTTGACAAAGACCTTTTGGGGTCAAAACGTTGCTGTTGTGGTTCCTAATAAAGTACCTGTCTTGAACCAAGGAGTGCCTGGAACTCTATTACTTTATTTTATAAATTATAGCAATGCATATCTGTAAACTATCCGTAATCTGATCAGACGGTCATGACCTTTACCGCGCTATTTTATTCATTTACTTATTTTTCCTTGCTTTAGAGTCCAACTTATGGTGTTCATAAAGGACAATTGCATGTTTAAATGCCAGGTGATTCTAGTACATTTTAGGCCATGTGCCTCCCATGAGTCATCTAAACCACCCTATGTTTCTCTGGCTCCTACAATCAGGTTATCAGGGTAGAAGATGTTAAGGTACATTATTACTGTTAATTCAGAATCAACTGGACTATCAGTCATTTCTCCAAACTGTAGTTACTGAAGAGCCTGATCTGACAAATATGTCATTGTCAAGATGCCTGCCTATAGCAAGGTATGCATTTTGGGAGGTAATGGATTAACTTTACTGTTGTCCCTCCTCTAGCTTTTGTTGAAATTCAAAAAAACTAAAAAAAATTGCGATCCAACCCTAAGGTTAAAAATAAGGGAAAACATTATTTCACACTGAAACACATATACCAGAACAATAAACAGAAAAACCCTCATAAGGCAGGTCCAAAACAAAAAACGCAGAGCCATTAAGTATTCATGGCACTAACGTCGATCGGTATTGCCGGTAGAATAATGCATCTTCCTACTTGGCCTACTGCCATTTGCAACTCTGCTGTTCTTGGGTATATCAACAAATAGACACGTATGATTGTACATATCTGAAGAATAGGCCCAACCTCAATAACTTCTGCCAAGCGTCTACCAACTTCTACAGGTATGCCTATAACGATTAAGTATCATTAACTGTGCTTTCAAAGTATTGGCAAAATATATTATATGCGACAATTACCAGATTTTACTAATAACATGACGTAAAGTCATGATTTTATAAAGGACACGGAGGCGAGTATTAGGCTTCTCTCTTTCTTTTATTTCCTCAGCAGCAAAGAAAAAGCTAAGGTGTTTATTTGTATAGGAAAAAGAAACATGCAATAACTACCCTCACAGGGTTAACATTACAACTATAACGTCATTGTAAGAAACGAAACAGAACAGAAAAAACTTCCGGAGCACATCGTCTTTAACTGCGTGATCCGGCATTCTTCAACGATGTGAATTTGGAGGACCAATCAGGCTGAAAAGGACAAGAAAAAACAATGGTAAAATGTGTCCTTGCCAACTATTTTCGTTTCATCACTCATTACAAAAAAACGAGCTAGTCATGTAATATTGTACGTATCAACCTACAATCGTCACTTGTCCGTCATATTAATTGAAAATACCCAACTGAGCCACTGATCACTCCCACCAAATACCTTATCTAGTACGTACCTGGGCCGGGATAGTCATTTCCAAGCGCTTCTAATCCGGGTGGGCTAATACTCGCCTCCGTGTCCTTTATAAAATCATGACTTTACGTCATGTTATTAGTAAAATCTGGTAATTTTATTAAAGGACACGGAGGCTCATATTAGGCTAGTTTAAAGCTGCGAGATAACTACACTGGACACGTGCTCTGTGGGTTGAAAGTAATATTCCTTAAACGTCGACTCACGCGACCAATCCGCTGTTCTCAAAAGATCCTCCAATCTACAGCCCGAACTGAAAACCTTGGACGCCATAGCGCCCCTGGTAGAGTGTGCCCCATAGACAGCAGTATCTATGTGCGCCATCGTCATTACCCATTTCACCCACCGGGCGAGAGTCACCGTGGATACCGGCTTATGAGGTTGTTTGATAGCCAAAAATAATTCTGGGTGCATCGGATTCCTGAATCCAAAGGTTCGTTTCTCGTATTCCCGTAGGCAGTCTACTGGACAAAGTTTGATGTTATGTGGAAACGAGGGATAAAAAACTGAAGTAATTGCCGACTTAGTACGCCTGGAGATGTTGAAGGAGACTCCCGTGGGGGTAAAGGAGCGTGCCGTAACATCCAGTGCTCTAACATCCGACACCCTCTTGCAGGAAATCAGGCACAAAAGCATGGTCAGTTTCGCTGACAGTTGTTTAAGCGAGAGTGCCTCATTGTGTGGCCAAGATTCCAACAATTGTAGGACTGAAGTGACGTCCCATAATGCCGTGTACCTGGGTTGCGGGGGCCGTGCAAACCGAATTCCCCGTAGGAGACGGCATACCGGCAGTTGTTGTCCCATCGGGGTTCCATCTATCCCTCTATGTCCTGCGGAAATCGCTGATCTATAAACATTTATGGTTCGGTATGCGAAGCCTTGGGTGTACAGGTCAGTGAGGAAACGTAACAAGGGAGCTAAAGGCGCACATACGGGATCCACTCGTTGCTCCAGGCACCAACGACTCCATCCGTTCCAGGCATGGAGGTAGGATCTTCTAGTTCCGGGCGCCCAAGCTCCTGCCAATAA